GCTTCCTTTCACAAAGCGGGTCCCAAGGCTCGGTCCCATAGCTGAGGAATGGCCAATGTGTCAGAGCCAGGGGCTGAGGTTCGCCCTCCATACAGCATCAGCCCCAGGGAGATCAACTGGACCCTTCATGGCAAGTTGATTGCACCAGATTCTTCTGCTGGAGAAGCCGGCAGTTCACACCAGATTGGACACCAACTTGCGATCAGGTTTGTCTTCTCTGCCCACATCACCTGTCCCATCACTGCCATCGTCACCCCCATGGAGTCAGGCCATTGTCCTCCAGGATCTCATGGAAGTGCTGCTTCCAGGAAGAGGCTGCCCTGGCCCTCCTCAGCCCCGCAATTTAGATCCTGGCCAATCAGAGGTCCTAGTTTCCAGCAGAGGGACAGTGCCACAGCTGCCACCCGGTCACTTTCGCAGAAACAGTGGTCACTTAATTGATGGGGTTAAATGGCTTGAGGACCCGAGATGCCAGGGTTGCTGCTTACTGCAGGCAGAGGTGTCACTGAGGTCCCTCTAGGTGCCCAGTGGCAATTTATGAACAGGCATTTGCAGCAGACTCAACTGATCTGACAAAGATGAGTTGACAAGGGCTCAGACTTTTCATGGGCGAGAGGCTAGGTCACCCCACCAGGCACACAGCCTGGACCAGAGGGCACTCAGGCTGAGTGAGGGGCAGAGGAGGGAGGTGAGGAACGTCAGTAACAGGCTTAGGGCTGGCTACAGCACTGAGGACTCTCACCATCAAGTCTTTATTTAGAGGTTGTAACCGGCCATCTCTTTGGAGACTCTGAAAGAGTGAGTCTATACAGAGAAGACAGCTTCAGTGGCCACCTGGACACTCAGGTCTTGGCCTCAGCTGTTTGGGCTGTGCATGGGGTGCACAGTTGCATGTCTCCACCTCCTGCTCCAGGCTCTTCCAGTACAACAGACAGGGGTAAAGGACAGTGGAAGCTGCAAAGTTTGGAAGTTGAGGGCTAGGGTTGGTGCACCCCAGGGCAACCCTCGACCAGCAGTGGATGGCACTCAGTGAATAATGCTCCCATTCCTCATCCTTTGGGAATGGACAACTCTGGGACACATGTGAGTACTTCCTGGGTCATTTCAGGTGGAATGACACACAGTTGCCATAATGGTGACCTCAGCAACACAGCTTCCCGTGGCCTTTCTTCCTTCTCTGACTCGTTCTAGCCCTCCACTCCCACTCCACGGATACTTTCCAAATAATAATCCTTGCCTTAGGCTCTGCCTCTAGGGGTGACTGAGGTCCCTCCAAACTTGCTTCTCCCCCTTCAGTCTCCATCCAGGTGAAGAACAACTATCTACCCAGTTGTCCAAACTAGAAACCCAGGCACAATCGTGACACCTCCCTGACCTTTACATCAAAATCATTTCCCAGGTCTTGACAACTCTACCACCTAAGCCAACCTCCGGATTATCCATCCTCCCTCTTTCACAGACATGTGCATGGCCACCACCACTCCCCAACTACATGGCCATTGGGAGGTTTGAGACGTGAGTTGATTCTTACCTGTTCTCTGTCATCAACCCTGTACATTCCTGTCCAGCCTCTATCCTGGGCCCAGGGTGAACCTAAATGCAGAGAAGCTTAGAGGACTCTCCCAGCTGTCACTCATTTCTGCCCTGACTGCCACTCTCTGGGCTCAGACAGGAGTGCCGAGCTTGGTTGAACAGCAGATGAGCATTAGCTTGAGACAGTCCCAGGTTCCAGAACCTGCAATTCCAGAGACCTGGGACACTGACCACCCCGGGGTTCTAGAAGAGAACACACATGGCAGGAAGGAGAGAAAAGGTGAAGATGAGATGTACCCCTCCACCTCTAATGACACCTTGCAAGGACCCCAGCGGTGGGCACTCACCCATCTACATTCCAGCTTCCAGTTCCCGAGCACTTTCTCACCCCTCACCATCCCACCACATGTCCAGAGGCCTCAGAAAACAGGCTGACCTAAGATCATGGTCGGTAACCGGCAGGCCTGGGGCTCCCAGGGGCTGGAGCTCCTTCCTCATCACTGCTGTGATGCCACCAAAGTGAAGGCTTGAGTGCAAGAGATTTTTTTCAAAATCATCTTTAATGTATTTTTAATAATTTTTGCCTCATTTACCAGATAAATCATCTAAATAAATAGATGCTATACAGTCTCTTACCAACATCAGTACAAAAATAAACCGCGCTCTGCATCCATTCTAGCCCTCCCAGCACACACTCACTCAGAAAAGGCATGTGCTTGGAATCAACCCGCACTCCCATCCCTCCCAAATACATTCACGTTGTCTGAACAAAGCTCGACGCTCATTCCGTGCAAAGGCAGCGTTCTTGTGCTGAGACATGGAGGCCAGGCTGGCCACTTACAAAGCAAAGCTAAGCCACCTTACACGGGCATAGCGCCTCCCCCCGCAGGAGGGGAGTCAGCAATGGGATGTCACCCTGAAGGGATGACAGGGCTCGGCTGGGCATTACAAGTGGCCGTGCCAGGGGAGGGGGAATCCTGTCCTTGCCCCATCCCACAGCAAGAGGAAAGTACCGACCGGGCTCTCTACATTCAAAATGAGAGGGGGCCGGGGAAGGAAAGACAGGCGGTCCGACTCTTTCTAAGCCCCCACCACCCCTGTGAGTACTGGCCTTCTGGGGTGGGGTGGGGCAGGGTAGGGGGGAGCTCAGTGTCCCAGGCCCCTCCGGGATGCTCAGGGCTGGGAAAAGGCCTGCGAGGCCACATCCAGCCCCTCATAGAGGTCTCCACCCTGGGGAGCCGTGGGGAGCCCCAGCTCACAGGCTTCTGCCCTGAGACGCAGGGTGCCCTGCGTGCCCAAAGGGCAGAAGAGGCAAGAAGCATCCTGCCATGCAGACAGAACATGAGCCGTCTCACTCCACAAACAGCCCCCAACCCCCCTCCCAGCCTGCAAATTGCACAAACAGCTCTTTGAAAGTGCCCATGAGGCAGGAAGAGGTCCCATGTCCCCTGGGGATGGGGTGTGTGCCTTCTACTGCAAGCTGCCAGCCCGGTCCCAAAGCCAAGGCCAACAGCATTCGATTAGAGGACCCCCTGGCCACCCCCGCTCCACCCCCACCAACTCCAAGCTGCCCTTCCCAGACCCAGGGTCTCACAGCAGGGTGGGGCGGGTGGGGGGCTCTGCTGCCCTTCCTACCCCCACAAGCTCCTCTAGAGTCAACTTCCCAAGCTGGGAGGAACCACCAGAGCGGACCACCGCCCCCACATTGGAAGCACTGAATTGACCCTGGACAACAAAGGATTAAGGAGGAAGGAAAGAGACTCAGGGATTTAGGAATCTTGCCAGCAGGGCACCCCAAACAAAAATGGGGTCCAGGCTGTCTTTGGTTTGGGAACTCGGGAAGAAGGGGTCTGGGGGAAGAATCGCCCTATCCTTGCCTCAGCAGGATTCTGCTGACTTCTTCCGGACAAAGCAGAGTGCAGAGAGAGCCCTGGGAGATGGTGGGCAGGGCCTCCCCCTACAGGACCCCAACGCTGATGATGGGGGAAGGTGGAGGGAGCTGGCCTTTTACCTTTGCTCCCCTGCTCCTCTTATCCACCCCCACCTGGCTTTTTCTCCCTTCCAGGGCTGGAGCAGGAGAGAAGCCCCTCCTCACACTTGGGAAGCTACTTGGCCACAGGACACATTTGTGCAAAGCAGGAGATGAGCGTCCCTCCTCCCAGCATCCCTCCTCCCAGCATCCCTCCTCCCAGCAGGAAAAGCCTTCTGCCCAGCAGGCCCAGCGGCTCCAGTGCTTAAGCACAGCCCGACCCACCAGCCGCTGCAGCCCCACAGTAGGAGGACGCGCAGAGCGCCCCCCCCACACACACACACAGGAAAACTGGGGCACTCCCAGCTGTGGCATCTGGGATGGATGGACAGGGGAAGCAGGGTGGAAGGAGGAAGGGTTTCAGGAGTTGAAGGCTGCCCTGAGAAGGTGGTGGGATGCTCCCTCCCTCTCTGGGAGGGCAGAAAAAGAGAGGAGAGGGTAGGGTTGAAAAGTCACCTGAGTCAGAGAAAACAAGAGCCCCTCAGGGGAGGAAGGACAGGATCGAGTGCCTCAGAGCCTGTGCTGACCCTGGCACGCCTGCGGCCGGCCAGGTAAGCCACAGAACCATACTGTGTGTGGGAGCCTCAAGGCCATCCGGCCCTCACTGACAGCTGTGAGCCGACCGAGTCAGGATAGATCCTGTCACGTGCCGTGCTGTGCTGTGCAAGGGTGGGAAGTGTGGGGTGCCCGTGACAAGTTCTCAGGTGCTGTGAACCACCCCACAATTTGCCAGGTCAGGGTTTCGAAACAGGTTTGCAAGATCCACTGTGTGCATCTGCAGACACACACCTGCAGTCACGAGGTCACAGGGCAGTGTGTGTGCACCCGTGTGGCTGCGTGTGCATGTGAGTGTCTCTCACAGGCCAGGTGATGGGGGGCAGGGGCTCCCAATGGGAGGGGCTCAGCTGGCAGCCACCCCAGGGAAGGGTATGGAACGTACCCCAACAACCTCAAAGCCTTCCTCTTACGCCCTCATTTTGACCCAGTCATTTTTGGTCAAAGCCAAACTCCATATCCCACCACAAAGCTGGAGTGGAAAGTTAAAAAGAAAGAACCCCACCCCCCACCCCAAAAAGGAAAAGGGAAACCAGCCAGAAAGGTGGGAGTGGGTGGCTCAAGGGAGAGGGTCTGGGCCCTCCCATCCTCCTTTGGTTCCTGGGACCAGCTGCTGCATCTCTAGAGCCGTACAGTGATGGAGATGGATGGAGATGCAGGCGGCCAGGGGTGGGTGGCCCTCCTGGCCTGGAGGCGGCCCCCTGACTGGCAGGGCAATGCCAGGCCGCGCCAGCCCCAGCCCCCTACGCAGACCACCAAGCCTTTCTGTAAACATCACGCGCAGAGAAAGGGGCGAGGTGGCGGGAGAGTGTCAGGATCTTCCCCCTGCTCCTGTTCCATATGTTTTTTAAATAAAATAATTACCCCGCCCCAACCCCTCCCCATCTCTGGAAGTCCCCACCCCAAGCCCAAAAGCAAACAGTTTACGAAGAGTAAAAATGGTGACTCAGAACTTCCCGCCGCGGTCCCGGAAGAAACCTTCAGCCGCCTGGGCCTCCCGGAAGGTGACGGTGACGGAGTTGGCGGTGATATCGGTCACTGTCACTTCACTTGCGGGGAGCACGGGTGTCCAAGGAGGTGGCCCCTCGGCCAGGTCTGCATCTGCGACAGACACAGGAGATGGACTGAGCTAAGGACAGCACTGGCGACACTGCTGCCTTTGGATCCCTGCCCGCCCAGCACCAGGTCCCCCTCTGGGGCTGCAGCCAGCTCTGGGTCTAGCTCAAGGCCAGACGCCTGGGAGGAGGTCACTACCTTCGTCTTCCCAGCCTGGATAGGTTGACCCCCAGTGGGACCCCAGGAAGAGCTCGGGGCTGTGCCAGGGCTCCTGCAGGCTGTGCAGCCTCGGAAGCACCTCAGGCCCCCTCTGGGCATTGCAGCACTTGGACCCGATGGCTCGAGGGAACCCCCCCCCCAGCACTCTGGGGCTTGGGCATGGGATGCCTTACCCTCCTCCTCGGGGGGCTGCTCAGCAGGCTCCCACTCGCTGGCCGCCTGCAGGACGTCCGGGGCTGCTGGCTCCTGCAGGAAGAGCTCCCGTGGATGGCTGTGACTCTCCAGGTCGGGCCCGCGGGGCGGGAACTTCTTGCGTGAGAGCCGCAGGTACTTGTGGGCCTTCCGCGGCTTGCGGAGCGGGAAGGGCAGGGCGGGCACCATGGGGCCCTTGTCCACCATGGGTGCCCCTGCCTTGACCACCCCCTCAGGGCTCCCGCTGCCGAGTGGGCGCGTCAGAGAGAAGCACAGCTTCTCCTTGCCCTTGGCCTTGTGCGAGCTCCGCAGGTCCATGCTGTACAGCCGCTGCGGGGGCAAGCCAGGGCACGGCGGGTCAGCCCTGCCCTCCCAGCCGCTGCCGCGCCTTTGCTCATGCTGTTCCTCCCACCTGGAGTGCCCTTCCCTGTGTTTCACGGCCTGGAGCCAGCCATTCCTCCAACCCCCAGCCCAGCCCAGAAAGCCACCCTCTGAGCAGCCGCAGCCTGCATCACCCACCCCCACTGCCCCAGCCTGGCCTGGTGCAGCTGCTCATCTTGGCCCCACAGGGCAGCCACCTCTCCCCAGGGGGGTTGTGTACAGCTCAGGGCCGGGCCAGCGCAGCAGAGGAGCCCAAAGGAGCACAGACTGAAAACTGACCAAGAAAAAGCAAATCTGGATTCCTTCTGGTCCCAACTAAGGAGTTCTTCACCACGGGGAAGGAATCTTTGCCTCCTAAAGGACCCCCAAGGCTGAAACAGCCAGCTGGCCAAGGAGATGGTGTGAAGTGGATGCCCTCGGGTTCTGGGGGCAAGTACCCAAGGGGTGCACATGGCACTGGGTGCCCCAGGTCATGCAGCCACTGGGATGGTGTTCTGCTCTCAGCCCACAGGGTGCTCCTCTGCTCTGCAGGCCCTTCCCCCTGCAGGTGCCACATCGCACTCTAGGGATTTGTCTTATTGACTTTGGCTGAAATGGACACAAATCCAAGAAAGATGCTTGGTGCTAAGTGTTGGGAAGGCCTGGATAGATCCAGGACAGTACCTTCTGCTGCCACCTATCACCAGAGGCCAGGGAAGACAGTGAGGCTTCAGATGGGACGGTGGCTCAAACCACCCCCAGCTGGGAGCAGAGATCACAGGCATAAGCTCCATTCTCCCACCCTGCCCACTAACTCCCAACACTCGGCACAGGGTACAGGTTGTTCTGGGACAGGAGGAGGGCCAGCCAGGGAGAGGTAGGGACAAGAATGTAATGCCAGCAGCGTTTATCCTACTGCAGCTTCATCAAAATCCACTCCTTCATCCTGGCTCGGTGGCCATCACAAGCCTAGTAAACTCCTCTAACGCTGCAAGGCAATCCGTCTTTGCCCTTCTCCACCTCACCAAGAGAGAACTGCAGCTACTAATAGGCATCCAGGAGCCCCCAGACTCAGACCTGGGTTTGAATCCAGCTGTGTTACCCTGGGTAAACTCCTGGCCTCCCTGAGCCTCAGTTTTTCTGTCACTGAGACGATGAAGAAGCCGGCCTCTAAGACTGCTCCCCCCCAATTCTTGCCTCAAGGAATTCACATCCATGTGTAGTCCCCTCAACCCCTACCTACTATAGGACTTCTTCCAAGGCTAGTTCATTAAAGACACTGTGCCCCCCCCGCTTGCTCTCTTGGATCCTCTGCTCTGGGGGAAGATAGGGGCCACACTGTGAAACCACCCGGGAGCCCTCAGAGAGGTCCACATGCAAAGTTCCAGGTCTCCTGTCAACAACCAATGCTGACCTGCCGCCACACGAGGAGCTACCTTGGAAGCAGGTCACCCAGCCCCGGTCCAACCTCCAGATGAGTGCACACTGGTTGACATTACAACTGTAGCCTGAACTAGAGTCGCTAAAGAACCAGCTATGGGACTCCACCAAGACTGTGTGATATGCTAAGTGTTCATTGCTCTAAGTTGCTAAGTTTGGGACTAGCTTGTCACATGGTGGTCGATACCAAGCACAGCCTCCTGGAGGCTTTGTGGGCGGGTGACGCACATTCACTTGTGAGCAGCACTGAGCACAGAGCTTAGCATGGAGAAGACGTCTGACAAACAGATGCCACCCTCCTTCTTGGGACCCATTTCACACCAGATCCCGTGGAAAATGCCCACTGCGTGAAGGGAAACCCATCCTTTCCGGCAAAAGCCTCAGATGACCTATAATTAAGAGTGGGCAGGAGACAGGACATGGCTCACACTCTGTGTAGACCAAGAAGCCATATTGTTTGGCTTCAAATACCTAGGTGAACGTTAGTCGATTAAGGAGAGCAGGTATGCTTTTCATCCCAATTTTATAGATCAGAAAATTCAAGCTCAGAGAGGCAGAGACATGCCTCAAATCACATCACTTCAAACTCTACCCACTTTCCAAGCACAACAGTGAAGTCAGCAAAGTGGTCCCAAGACCTGGGCAACGTGAGGCGTCCCAGAGTTTAGAAGCCTGCGTGTGGCAGAGGATTGGAACAGGAGGCCCCGCTGGCTCCTTCTCACTCAAAAATGTCCCATTTCTAGGGCATCCCAAGACAACAGTTCCAGAATTCTGAGTGTCCTTTTATTGGATTCTAAAATTCCAGGTGCCCATGTTGCCTCAATTCTAAAGCTTATGTTTCCTGAAGTCCTCAAATATTACAATTTTGCATTTGGGGACTCTGAGCATCATAAAGGCTCACTTACAAGATCCTAGGCTTTCAAAATTCTAGGCTCCCTTCAGCCATATACCCACCTTGCCCCGAGCCCCACAGCACCTCCCGCCCAGGCTGTCTTCCTTCCCCAACCCCCAATGGAGACTTACCCCCTGAGTGCACCACCCCCCAGGGCCCTGGGCAGAGCAAAGAGGGTAAGTGGTTCAGCTCAACTAGCTGGTGCAAATGCATGGGCTGGGGCAGACTGATGGGAGGGGCAGGGGGACCTCAGGGTGGGCACCAGGGCTGGCGGGGTTACCTGCAGCAGAAGCCGCTTGGGTTTCGGACCTCTCTTCCTATACCCCGACGCTCGGTCTCTCTCCTCCCTGGGGTGCAAAGCAGATGGCAGAAGAAAAGCAAACACTGGTGACATTTAAGGGAAAGTAAAGCATCCGCTCCACCTCATACTCTCCTGTGTATGGGGAAAGGGGCACCCGCCATAGGCCACCCCCAATCCTCAGGTAGGGACTCCTCTCCATTGCTTTCTCTACACCCTAACAGTGGGGCCCCATGTTCATATCCCAGGGCCTCGGTCTTCCCGTCTGGCAAAAGGGGTGCAGGGGCACAGCCACTGGTCCTAACCACTGAGGTGGGACTTGCGTGACATCTCCCAAAGTATGTAGGTCTCTACTGGGCTCCAGGGTCACATCAGAGCTCTGCTCTCCATGCCACTGGGTACACCCTCCAAAACAATGCAGTTCTTCCAGTTTCCACTCTCAGAAGAGTTGTACAGAAACCTGTCAATCAAATTTGCCTCGAATGTCCCAGGGGAGCTGATGAGAATGGAAATGGTCCTCTCGTGAGACGCCTGAGTGCCTCAGTGGTTGAACTCAGGGCGTGATCCAGGGATCGGGGATCGAGTCCTACATCGGGCTCCCTGTGGGGAGCCTGCTTCTCCCTCTGCTTATGTCTGTTTCTCATGAATAAATAAATAAAATCTTTAAAATTCTTTTTAAAAATTAATAAAAATTTAAAATTTAAAAAAAGGAAATGGTCCTCTCGTGAGTAAAGCTCTACTCAGATTCTTCCCCTTTTGGGATCTGGATGACCTTGGTGGAGAGGACAGGCTCTTGCTTCTATCATCTGGTTCAGAAAAGGGAGAACAACTTGCCTATATCGAGTCTCCAGTAGATGCCAGACTCTCTGCTGGGTGCCCTCCCCACACCACAAACACACAGGCACGACCCGAGGATGCATACAAAGCCACACAAGACACACACAAGACAACACAACAGAGACTCCAACAACAGTGCCGGTGGAGAACTTCAAAGCCATTTGTATTCTATTTCGTTTCATTCCTGCTTTCTGTGGCCCCAGCTACAGAGGCCATGTGGGCAGCGGAGAGACTGTGAAGGCTGGGAGTGTGCTCCCTTCCCCCTACTGGCTGTGTGACCCCAGACAGTCTCTCCATCTGAGCTCAGGGCTGCCCATCCCAGGTGGCTGTTTCCACCACTAGCCCTCCTCCCTCCTCAGGGCAGCACTGCCCACGGGCTCCAGGGACACTGGGGGAGATACATCTGCGTAGGGCCCTTCCTCCCTCCCTCCCTGTGGGGTTGGCTGCAGCAGGTCTGCCCTGAGGCCCTGGAGCCAGCATTTGACCACACCGTGATACTAGCCACTTGGCTTGTCAGGACAGACCTGCCGGCCTTTGAGGGTGAGTCTTCTCTCAGAAGCCAGTGCTGAGCACCAAGACACTCTGTTCCAGGCCCAGCTCTACCCTGACTCAAGGGAGACCTTGACTGATCACTTCCCCTCTGGACCTCACAGTCCTCGTCTGGAGCAAGACGGTCCCTTCTCAGCTGGCCATCAGGGCGTTTGGGAGGAGCAAGAGAAGTCCCTGGGATTTATCAAAATGGAGGGTAGAAAAGCTAAAGTAATAAAGTGAGGTAGGGGTGAGAGGAAAGAGAAAGAAGAGAGGAAGAGGACGAGGAAGTAGAGGGAGAAGGAAGGGTTGTGGGGGAAGAGAACAATGATGAGTGTTTATGGCATTTACATGTGAGGGAGCCACTATTACTATCCTTGCGTTATAGTCGTGGAAACTGAGGCACAGAGAGCTTAAGTCACTTGCCAAGTGCCAAAATTCTGACAGCTTCTGCCACTAAGAGCTGAGCTCCAGGCCTAGAGAAGGTCAGGCCCAGGGTCCAGTTAGGGCCAGCAGGGCAGGCCTGCCAGGCCACACGATCCTGGTTTCCAATCCAATGCAGTGTGTGCGTGTGCGTGCACGCATAAAGGGGGAGGGGTGCATTCTATCCAGTCCTTATCACCCAGGGCCTGGTTTCTGTCAGCCTTGGATCCTGACATCAATGTCCAGGGCCCTAGGGTGGTGGCACCCTAGGAGTTGCACCCTCTCCGCCTCTCCCTGTTGGCGGGACTCCACAGAAGAGCCCCTTTGCCAGACTCTTTCTGAGTCTCTTTAAAACCCTGCAAGGCTAGTGTTAAATGGGCATCATCCCTCTTTTACCCCCTCTTCACCAAGACTGAGAGAAGGCGGCGAAAAGTCACACAGTGGGTCTGTCTGTAAAGGTCTCCAAGCTCTTCATTTGTTCCTTAACTATTTTCTGACTCATTCAAAATAACATCCAAATCCTCCACTGGGACTTAGTGGCACTCCCTGAGCTGTGCACCCCCTTCCTTCAACTGCCCCACTCCTGCCTCATCTCCCACACGTCACCCAGCTCACACCACTCCAGCCAGCCGCACTCAGAGCCACACTTGCCTCCATACTGTTCCTTAAACATTGGCTCTCACTCCAGGGCCTTGCATTGACTGTTCTCTTTACTTGGGATGTCCTTCCCTAAAATACTTGCTAGACTCATTCTCTCAAGTAATCCAGGTCTGTGGTCAAACACTCTCACCTAACTGACCCTTGAACCCCTACCCATCCCCTCCCCCTGCCCCCAACCCTGTCCTTGCAGTAGTTATGACCATCTGATAGCATATACATTTCTTGATGTTGTTTTTATTATCTGTCTCTGCACTGGAATTCGAGCCCCATAAGAACAGGGATTTGGTTTTATTCCTTGCTGTGTCCCTAGCACCTAGAACAGTGTCTGGCACATGGCACAACCTCAAGCCATGAACAAGCAAACAAATGACCCTTCATTACCATCACGGAGATCATTCACACACGTGTGCCCACACTTACTGGTTTACAAAGTGATTTCATACACCTTGCTCCCCGTGAGAGCGCTGTAAGGTCAACAGCATTATTGTCACTTTGCAGATGGGGAGGATGAGGCCCCGAGGGGGAGGAGGCCTTGCCCACCACCACACAGCTGGTGAGCATCAGAACCAGGATTCTAATTCAGGACTTGGACACCTGCCTGATGCTCTCCTCACTGCTGTCTAGGACATTCCACAGAATTCTCCCCAGCACCACAATCCAAGGCCCCACCGAGCACAAGGAGCCAGAAAAACGTTGTGGGATAGGGACTCCCTGATTTTTAAAGGAGAACAGGGTAGAGTTTTCCTCAGAATGGGCAGGACGCTTCCTGGGGAGAAGCAATGGAAGAGGGCAAGGAAGGGCAGGGGAAGGGCATCTAACTGGGAGTCAGGAGGCCTGGATTAAGCCCTGGTTGGGTGGCTTCCCAGCGGTAATGTCCCCTGAAAAGTTCTTTAGCTCCTCAGAGCTTCAGCTTCCCCATCCATCAGAGGAGATTCTCATCCCCATCTCAGGAGATCACCATAAAGGGCCAAATGGAAATGATTTTGTGCAAAGATCCCACTCTGTACAGGTGGGCAACTGAGAAGATACAGAAGGATTTGGGCTGCCTGCTGGTAGGGAGATCGGTGAAGCAGCAGATTCAAAAAGCTCCTACATGAGGAGAAACGACATTTTGTCAAAGGCACCCCACTGAGATGCAACCTCACTGCCCATCAGCGGAGCTGCCAATCACTAACATTCAGAATCAGAGCAGAGTACTGGCAGATAAGGGAGATGGGGGCGGTGGGGGGGGGGGGCTTTGCCCATGGCCACTGAGCGGGGAGGTGGCCAGTGGGACGGACCAGAACTCAGACATCCTTGCTCTGAAGCCACAGTCCATCCCCTGGCCTTTCTCAAGCTTCACTGGATTCTCCTTTTCTTGGTGAGACAGTCTCTAGGGAGAATCTCTCTCTGATCTGTTATCAAGGCCACCACTGTCCATTACTGACATTGCTGGCCCTACACAGGGCATCTCCGTAAAGCATTCTTATACTTTTCACAGCAGTTAGAAGCCCTACCTTTGGGAAAATCAGGACCAGTGTTATTAGGGGATGGCCCATTTTACAGCAGAGAGACCGAGACCTGGGAAGGTTAGAGAAGTGGCTGACATCACTCAGCAACAGGAAAGGGCCCTTGGCTGCACTGGTATCTGATGCCCACCCCCTTCTTTCAGCTGCATATGAGATCGGGCTGTCCCTGCCTAACCCCCTCCCCATCATGCCCATGCCCCATGTTCGGAGCCAAGCCAGCAGCAGGCTTCTTATGAAACCTCAAAGCCTGCCTTATGCCCAGCCCCAGTCAGGCTGAGGCCCCCTTACTTCTCCTCATAGGCCATGACCAGGCGGGGGTCCAGGATGTGCTCTTCCGGCTCCCATGTGCTGTACCTGGGGAGAGAAACCGCAGGTCAGAAGCTGCCCTGCACCCACTGGCATTCACCAAGGGTATAGCTGTTCCACCAGGGCCTGCCATCTGCAGGCTTTTGCTCCCTTTCTGGCCCAATATAACTGTCACCTACTCCTCGCAGCTATCCCTGGCTGCCCAGGCTAGGTCAGGGGGCTCCTGAACTCCAGACACCAGAACTCCCCTCATTCTGAGCACTGATCACACCACCCTATAAATAACTGCATCCAACTCCCAGTTAGGCCTCATGCTCACCCCAGAAGCACAGGGTACCCTGCCCAGGATTCCCTTCCTGTGGGAGGCATGAGCCTGCGGTCAAGAGCTCAAGTCTGGGGATCCCTGGGTGGCGCAGCAGTTTGGCACCTGCCTTTGGCCCAGGGCGCGATCCTGGAGACCCGGGATCGAATCCCACGTCGGGCTCCCGGTGCATGGAGCCTGCTTCTCCCTCTGCCTGTGTCTCTGCCTCTCTCTCTCTCTCTCTCTCTGTGTGTGTGACTATCATAGATAAATAAATTAAAAAAAAAAAAAAAAAAAGAGCTCAAGTCTGGCTCTGGAGCCAAACTACCTGGGTTCAAATCCCAGCTCAGCCCTTGCTAGCTGTCCAACCTTGAAGGATTTACTCAACATCCCTGTGCCTCCATTTCCCCATCTGTAAAGAACTCTTGTGCTGCTTAATACGTTCATCTAAGTACCTAGTGCAGTGCTTACTGTTGCTGTCCCTGCCCACAACCTGCAAGCCCTGGCCTCAGCATCTCCTCTGCCCAGGCGGAGCCACTCCCTCCCTCCTCGGCACACATCTGTACCTTCACTGCCAGGTGTGAAGTTCCCCTGCCGCCCTGGCATGCAGCAGGAATCTGGTAGATGGTTCAGCAATCCTAGGATCCCACGGCAGGTCCCCTTGGTATTTCAGGTGGGGACCTTCCACCACCCCCAGACTGGGGAGCATCCCCTGGTGGGACAGCCTGGGGAGCAACAGCTTAGCAGCTCCACAGCTGAAGCCATCCTTGTGCTACCTGCACTGCTATTTACTTAACACTTGCCTTTAAAGCAGCTCACTTTTTTCATTTAATAATTTTAAAAACAAATGTTAGGAGCACCCAGGTGGCTCAGTGGTTGGCATCTGCCTTTGGCTCAAGGTGTGATCCCAGGGTCCTGGAATCGAGCCCCACATTGGAATCCTCGCACCAGGGCTTCACACCTGGTGGTGAAGGTAAAGATCTCTGCCCTCATGAATAAATAAATAAAACCTTTAAAAAAAAATCTCAAAACAAAAACAAAAAAACAAATTTTTAGGGGGCGCCTGGCTGGTTCGGTCGGAGGAGTATGTGACTCTTAGTCTCAGGGTCCTGAGTTTAAGTCCACATTAGGTATAGAGATTACTAAAAACATAAATAAATAAACTTAAAAAAAAAGCTTATGACTTCCATAAATGGAAAAACTAGTATCGCTCACCATAAACAGATGCTAATGCATAAAGAAACTAATCTTTAAAACACATACCTGAATGTGTATATATACACAATATTCAAATACACAATATATACACAAGCATATAAACACACACATAAGTTCACACGTATACACGTATATGTAAAAACAACAGCAAAGCAATGCACCATGATTCTGGCCCAGGCTGTATGCCCAGCTCTGCTGGACAGGAAGGGAGGCGAGCAGATACTAGGCAGGTGTTAGGAGGCAGCAAGAGGCTAGCTGGTGGAAGCCCTGTTCCTACTCCTCCTAACCAGCTGAGCTAAAACTTTCATCTTAAACCATCCTGGGACTGATACCTACAAGAAGTCGAATCTAGATTCGAACAAGCTACCTGAGGACAGAATCCTTTCCTCCTTCCTGCCACTGACACTTCTGCACACCTAGTTTATGTTGGGCCCCGTGCCAGGTTCTGTGGACTCAGCAACAAAGGTCCGAGCCCTGAAGGCCTTACAGTCCCTACCCAAGTGCTACGTGCCCAGCCCGATCAGGCGCCATCACAGCCCCCCTCATACGTGCTATGCTCTCCGCCTGAGGGACAGTCTCTCCATGACCTCATCCTTCCAGTGCCAGCCCTTGTAGCTTCCCCTGACATCCTTTTCCTCAAACTGTCCCACTCCCAACAGAACGAACCCTCCCCTCTGCTGCTCTCCACAGCCTGGAGCACTTGGCATCTGCCAAAATTATTGATGAATCCAGTGGCACCCTGGCTGGCAGACTATAAGCCCTCCCCAGGGTGCCCAGCCCAGCCTCCGACCCTAGGTGCTCTGGGAATGGCTATGGAAGCCACTGCAGAGTTCTGCTCACCCTGAAGAAATGCTAACAGTGAAACTGGGGTTTTTGATAGTTTGCATAGAGCCCAAAGTATAAGCAACCAGAGACTGGCGGAGATCCAAAACTTCCTCTTCCAGAACAAAGGTTAAATTTCTTCAACTGTAACTAGTTACAAGAAACGAGGAATTTTGTGGTCCTCTGTGTCCTCCACCTTCGCCCTCTCCCCTTCTCTAGCTGTTAAGATGATTCTACAGTGTTCTGGTCCTCTCTGTCTCTCTCACTTGCCCACTGCCCTGCCCATTTTTTGGTTGCTGATGTAGGTGCTATGTGTTTCCTGGCAAGTCCCTAACCTTCTCTGGACCTCAATTTCCTCATCTTAAGACTCACCATCACCACCATCACGGTAACAGCACCGCTCACTGCCAGGGGCTCATCTATTCCTCATAAAACCCCCATGAGGTAGGTTACCCTATTTAAAGATGAAGAAACAGGCACAGAGAGTAAGCATCTTGCCAAGATCACGTAGACAGTACGTGGCCAGTCTGTGGTTGGAACTGTTGAATCTTGGCCACCCTCTACCTTTGGGTCTCTCACCCGGCACTGCGCCTGGCTCCCCACTGGGCTGTGATGTCCCTGGGCGAAAGGCAGTACTGACTGACCTTGTCCTGTATCTGACTGAGGCTTTGCACACAGTGGGTGCACAGAAAGGCTCAGCGGATTCAGGCCGGGCCTTTACTTGGCTGGGGTGGCAGCACGTGAAACAATGGGACAGGGTCAGACTCAGTAAACAGCAGGAGGCCTGGTCCTGCTCCAGGCTGCGACAGAGGAAGGGCAGGGGGACGCAGCGCCTCACTCTCTCGGGCACCCCCCCCCAAAGTGGAGGCCAGCAGCCCCGATCCGCAACGTGGGGAGCCAGAGGCCGCGGTGAGAGGAGCGGGGCGCACCGCCCAGCCGCCGCGGTCCTGGGTCTGCCGGAGGGCGGGGCGGGGCGAGCGGAGGGGCCGGCGCTGGCAGGGCGGGAACACCGCGCTCCGTGGGGGGCGGAGAGCCCCGCTCGGCTCGGCCCGCCCCGCCCCTGCAGCGGGGCCGCCGTGCGCGCGCACGCACGGAGGGGGCGCGCCCGGATTACCAGCCCAGCCAATGGCTGGCGGGGGCGGGGGCGGCGCGCGCCGGCCGCGAGGTAAACACGGCCACGTGACCAGCGCCCCGCCCCCGAGCCCGGGTAAACAGGCTCGCGGCCGCCCCGCCTGAGCCGCGCTGCGCAGGCTCCCGCCGTGCCGGGGGCGAGGCCCCCCGGGGCCAGGCCCGCCCTAGTTCCCCCCAACAGTTCAATTTAAAGCCCTCCAAAATGAGCCGCCGCTCGGGGCGCTCAGGTCTAAGGGAGACGGGTGCGGCGGTGCGCAAGTCAGGCCGCCGCTGGGGCCTCGTTTACTCCTCCGTGAGGTGGGAATGCCGAAGGTCCCTGTACTGGGGGCTTAATGTGAGGATTAGATGTGCTAAGCAACGTGAAGCACTTACATCCGTGTGATACGCAATAAAAGCAAAGACGCGTTAATTAAATCAATCAAAATACAGGGCGAAAACCTGCCAGGGCTGGAACGCTGGCCTCTGCTGTTGCCGCCCAAACCCAGCGTTGGAGGAGGAGGACGCACAGCCACCTCCTCTGTCCCCGACAATGTTATCAACTTGTGTTATCAACCCTTCAACAGAGTCCTGTGAGGCTAGGGCCTCATTTTACATGTGGAGAGATGAGAGGTGCAGAGATTGAGGGCTTTGCCATGGGTCACACAGCTTGTAAATCTACAAAACTAGGCTCCAAAGACAGCCTGGTCTGGCCCCAAAGCCCAAGCCCTTGCTCCTGAATAGCCAAGTCACCTTTGGCAGAGCTGATTGTGTGTCACAGGTGCTAGGCCCCTATGCCCCGGGATCAGGGAAACCACAGTTCAGATTATCCCAGCTATATTTGACCCTGGGGCACAGACTCCTCTGCTATGGATTTCTGTGTCCCCATCTGTAAAATGGGTTGCATAGAGGCAGTTAAAAATGGGCCAAAGCGGGATTCCCAGGTGGCTCAGCGGTTTAGCACCTGCCTTTGGCCCAGGGCATGATCCTGGAGACCCAGGATCCAGTCCCACGTCGGGCTCCCTGCATGGAGCCTGCTTCTCCCTCTGCCTGTGTCTCTACCTCTCTCTCTCTCTGTGTGTCTCATGAATAAATAAATAAAATCTTTTTTTAAAAAAAATGGGCCAATGCCTGACTCATGCAAGGTGCTTACTGATTAGCAGCCTGTTTATTGCTTTGGCCACTGACAATATCATTACCAAAGCTCCCCTGAGGTAGTCCTCCCTAAAAGATGGAGTAGTGTTCACAAGTGGGAAAAGAAGGAAGGAATGCATTCCCAAAGGGGGGAACAGCAGTCCTGGGCAGGCTGAAATCAGTGGAGTATCTGAGGGTCTGTGTGGGGCACAGAGATGGAACTGATGATTTAATAATATCTTCTGCCCTGTGCCCCCAGACCCTCCCTATGCAATTTTCTGTACCTTCCAGAACAAACAAGATATGCTCCTCTGCCCCATCTGCTGGGGATGAAGGGCAGTCATTTGTCTGCAGTTGGGGAGAAAATGGACAAAGCATGTGATGGCCTATCAGAGGCCTGGCACGGAGTGTGTGTCTAAATCATGGTTTCTGTTATTAATATAAGCCTCCTTGACCAGGGCGAGGAAGGTGCTGCCGAAGGTGCGGACTCTCCTCCCCACCAACGAACGCTGGCACTACCCTCACCAAGTCTCCCAGGCCTGTAGGCAACAGCCTAACCAGCTACCCACTCCCCACCCTCTTTCTCAGTCTCTTCTCCAAGCAAGGAACCCCAAGGAGGGGAGACTAAAGCCCACATGGATTACAAAGGACCCCAGGTCCTCCTGCCTCACCCCCTGCCAACCTGTTTTCCTCCAAGTGAAGTGGGGTGATGCAGTGGGTGGCATGAAGTAGGTGCCACATGGCAAGGGAGCTGTAAGTTATATTCTTGTCATGATCTCCCCTCTTTGGGCCTCAGTTTCCCCATCTGAGGACTGATCTAAACCATTTCTAAGACTACTTTGAGCACCTTTGAGGAATGGAATCTCCTAGATTCCTTTCCTGTCTGTGGGGAGACCTAGAAGCTGAGCTAACTTTGTATTAAGAACCAACATTTCGTAAGTACCTGGTCATCTGAGGCTTCCATCCCCTCACAACAACGTTATTCCAATTGGAAGATGAAAAAGCAGAGGCTCCACCACGCTGAGGACCTAGACAGCTGTGAGCCAGGCCAGGAACCCAGGACCAAAGTGCAGGGGAGCCAGGGGTGCCCCGGGTCATCTGGTCAAACAAGGCTCCCAGAACCCCTTTGAGGAGTCACAAAAGGTAGTCATTCGGGCCCACCTGGTGCAGCATGTTAAGAAACAAGTGGCAGGGGGCTCAGGCCAGCAGGAACATGAGCAGCTGCTCTTGGAGTGCTAGGCCCTTCTCTCTTGGCTGAAGCTCTGATAAGCAGACATATCCATTTGGGATTAAAAAAGTGGAAGAAGGAATTTTTCATTGATAAGTACCTCTGTTTCAAGAAGGAAATCTTTCAAAAGATGGAGTCTAGCGAGGAGGAAAAATAGCCAACGGTGCCTTGAAGGCCAACCGGCTGACTACACTCCCATGCAGCTCCTTCTGGTGCCGAAGCTAAGGGGGGCACATGTACCGGGGAGTCAGTGCCCTGCTGCCCACCCCAGGCCTTCTCCTTTTCTAGCTCCCCCTCAACTCTTACTGTCCCTTCACAAGGCTGGAAGGCCACCTCTCATCTGCGGCGAGGAGGAGGGGATCCTCCCCCAGGTCCAGAGTATTGGGCAATGGGAGGTGGGTGGTGGGAGCAGCAGCAGTGGACCAGGGCAGGACTTGGTTGGCCAGCCCCTAACCCCAACCTCAGGATGCCTGCAGGTCGCCCTGAACACTTGTGACCAGGCCTTGCACCGGCAAGGTGAAGGAACATGAAAGAGGAGGGCAGGGCATGCGCTATACAGCCTCTTTTGCAGAGCGGGAAACTGAGGCAACACAGGCTATATTTCCCTCTGCTGTGTCTCCCCACCAGGCCCTCACGAGGCTCCCAGAATCCAATACCAGGTCAGAAACAGAAACATAGCAGAAAGCCCCTGGCACAAGCAACAGCAGCTCTGGGCAAAGGGGGGTTTCCAGGAGTCACTCCCAAGGAGGCAGGGCCCCCACAGACCAATGAAGAGGCCCCACGAATTGTTCATTCCCTCCCACTCCCAACCCCCTGTTGGCAGGTGATTGGTTAGTAGGAAGGTTCTTGATTGGACCTTAGCAGGAGAGGTGGAGCCACGGGAAGAGGACCTACAGCCAGCAACCTGTACTCCCAACTCTGAGACAGAGGCCCAGAGGCCATATGTGAAAGTGGGGAGGCCCAGTTCAAGTCCCACCTCTGCCTCCACTTGCTGTGTGACCTAAGGCAAGATGCTTACCTTCTCTGAGCATGTTTTCTCATCTTTAGAGATCACCACCATCCCTGCTTCACAAGGCTATCTGGAAACCTGCTTGGTAGACTGGAGAATGCTATCCAAAGGCAAAGTGAGCTCAGGCTCTGTCCCTAGCTCTATGGCACTGAGGACTCCTGCCCCACTGGCTAGACTTGTCTTATCCAGCCCCACAAACCCTCCTACTCAGCACTACCCTACTATTTGCTCTATCTCCACCTGGCCAGCAGCCATCTCTGAAGCCAAGATGCTGGGCCTTCACCTCCCAGATGCCAGGAAAAGCCAGAAATGGAGCTTTTCCAACCAAAAGATGGAGCTCAACCCAGAGCAGAGCAGGAGAGAAGAGAAGCCGGGGCCCACCTTGACCCTCACGTCCTTCCAGCCCCTCAGCCAGCAGAGGGGAAACCGAGGCTTAATCAAGGTTCAACTGCCAATTACTAAAGCAGCTGGAGCTAAAAGCTAGTCAGGAGAGAGGCAAAAGGCGGATGGAAGGATGAACAGGTAGGCAGACACATACACACAAAGGAGCCTTACTTTGGAGGCCATCCTTTCCATTTCACCAGATATTCGACTTTACCCTGGAAAGAAAGAGAAGCAGACAAAGTGAGATACACAGCTGCCCTGACAACCATCATGGGACAATAAGGTCCAATAATTTCTGCAGACTGATGTCCCTATAACACATACACAGTCCAGGGACACTCCCCCCCCCCACACACACACCAGAGCTTCACCAACCCAAAGACACCCAAACTTTGGCTGCTGGGTGACTACCCCACCCAGACTGTCCTTCCTGCGAAAGCACAGGAGTGCATCTGGCCCCAAACGTTTCTGGGGCTCCTACGGCAGAAGCTCAGAGCCCATGTCACACACGGGGAAATGACCACATGGGGCATGGATCGCCAAAGATCTGGTGCCCAGAGTCCCAGTATTATGACCATAGCTTTTTAACTTTTAACAAACAGAAGACTCTCCAAATTCTAGAAAATTCCTCACTGTGGCAGGTTTCCCATGGCTCTAGCCCCACCAGTCCCCTTCCCTAGGAGAGGCTACCTCTGGCCTGGGGGATGCCAGGCCAGTGACTTTAGGACTCTTAACTCAAAAGACCCTGGCAGGACTCCAGAAAACGCTGACAAAGGCTCCACCTTCAGAAGTGGTGGTCACCACCCCTCCAGTAGTTAGGAAATAGAGCCTGACCCCTTCCTTCCTCACTGATGGGGGCCTGGCTTCCCAGCCCTACCCAATCCACACCAGAACTTTAGGACCACGATAAGTCATCCCCTCAAAGAGGCCTGCCCTGACCACCCTTTCTAATGCCATCCCTCCCACGTTCCAGTTCTCTTTCTGCATCGCACACAGCCCCACTGGAAGGCATCTGTATTTATTTTCTTGTTCGTTGTGTGTCTCCTCTGCCGGACTGCCAGCTCCATGAGGGAAGGGATGTATGCTTCCCTGGGGCTTAGACGGGTGCCTGGTACATAACAGACTCTCTATAAATACATTTTGAAGGAATGGCTGAAGGAATGGTGTCCCTCACTCTCTGGCACTACCGTGTAGGAGGGTAACCACTGGATCTGCTTAGGCTACTGTGCGTGGAAAGCACTGGGCTTTGTAAAATAAATGAAAATTGAGGAAACCCTGGAGGAAGGGAGGAGGAAGGGCGTCCCCAAGAGTTCAACTCCATCAGTGCTGGGGGAAGAAAAGCCCATGGCCCTCCTCCACCTTCACCCTTGGCCCAAGACCCCAGCAGAGTTTTCTCTCTCCAAAGACCACGAGCTAGCAATTAACCAACTTGAGCTCCTGCTCAATCTCCATCTCTACTTCGGGGTGTGACCTTCACCAGGTCACTTCCTCTGCGGGGGGGGGGGGGGGGTGTCTCAGTCTCTGCCCATGTCAACTGGGGGGGGGTGACCTCTAAGACCCCTCCCAGCCCTGCCCCTGGAGCCTCCCAAGGGGCTGCAGAGAGGAGATAAGGGGCAAGGATGGTGGAGAGTGCCAGAAGAACTTTCCCCGAGGGCTTCCATCCCCCACCTCCAGTGTGAGGCGACCACTCTGCAAACAGGTGCACAGGAAATGTGGTCCGCCGGAGTCCGGCCCCGAGGCGCGGGTGCCCGAACCCAGTGAAACTGGTGCCTCCTTAAATTGCAGGGTGAATGCTTTGGAGGCGAAGGGAAGGGGGAGGAGCTTAGAGGATGCCCCAGCGCTGTGGGCGGCCTCGCGGAGCGCGGCCGGGCGGGGCCGGGAGTTGGGGTGGGGAAGAGGGAGAGGTGTGCGCTGGAAGACGGGGAGAAAGCCGGAGGTGGGGGTAGAGGGCTCCGAAAAGGTCGAAGTCCAGAGTGAGACCTCAGAAGCAGGAGGCTCAAGCTCCGCCTCCAACTTCCAAGGTCTCGGTACCGAGTCCGGGGTCCTGAGTTCGGGACCCAGCTCCGAAGCGAACACGCCAGGCAAGCCTTCCCCTCAGCTCGGGCCTCCATCTCCCCTCATTTAGAACGAGGGAAGGCTGAGGGAGGATGGCGTTCAGGATCCCCACAGTCTGATCCTAATCTCCAGCTCTGGCGGGCTCAGCTGCCCCCAGGATGCCGGGCCGACAACTTTTTTATTCTACTCATCCTACGAGGCGGCAGGGGAAACTGAGGCACGGGCTGGGGAGACGAGCCCAGCAGCACGGAGCTGCCCGGCCCCCCCCTCCGCCCCACTCTCCACCTCGCCGCCAGCGTGGAGGGGACGGTGCTGGGGCCAACAGGGGACCCCACAGGGGTCCTGGGAGCCGCCCCCAGGCAGCCTCACCTTCCGCACGCGCTTCTTCCGGATGCTCTCCACCGCGAACACCTGCTCGCCGATGGCTGACAGCTCCATGCGGGGCGGCGGGCGAGCGGGCCCGGGGCCGGGCCGAGCCGGGCCGGGGGCGGAGCTGCGGGGCCGCGGCTGAGGCGCGCGATGCTCGGGCCGGCGGGGACCCCGTCACCCTCGCCCGGGCGCGCACGCGCACGCGCACGCGCACGCGCGCACACCCCCTCGCGCTCCCTCACGCCGCCGACGTTCCATTTTTGAACCTGCGCAACGTTTTCCTCTGCGCGAGCGGGCGGGCGGGCGCGCGGGAGGGGGCGGGGCGGGGGCTCGGCTCGCGCCCGGCAGGTCACGCCCCCCTCCCCCTGCCCGCCGGCCCGCCCCGCCCCGCCCCGCCGGAGCCCCGCCCCCGCCCCCGCCCCCGCCGCCGAGCGAGCGCCGCCGGCCCGCGGGACTTATTTGGCGCGGGCGTCGCTCGCCACCGGGGCGGGGCGGGATCGTGGCCCCGAGACGCGTTTCTGAGGACGCCCCCGGTGACTGCGGGAGGCCGGAAGCGACACGCCGCCGTGGGGCAGAGCAGAAGCGGGCAGGGCGCGGAGGCCACGTGTCCCACCTCCCACCGAGGAGCGGGCGGGGCCGGGGCGCGGACCCCCGGGCGGGCCGAGATTTGCATCTCCGGACGGAGGCCCCTAGATCCCGGGTCTGCAGCGGGCGCCTGCTCGGCGGTCCGTCCGGCGGTCCGTCCGGCGGTCCGTCCGGCGGCGGCTGCGCGGAGCGCCGGGGCTAGGCAATAATTGGCGGCAGGTGTGGCCGGGGCGCGCGGCCCCTAGTAGTCGTTCTAGCTTGTGACATGAATGGACCCCGAGACCGCCCAGCCCGCTCCTGTTTTCGCTGCGGCGCCCGCACTCCTTCCCGCCGCCCCCGCCGCCCCCGCCGCCTACCTGCATGGATCCCGAGTCCTGCCTCCCTGACCCGCTCCTCCTCCCGCCTGCCTGCAGCTACCACCTCCGCGCGAGCTGCCGCCCCCCGCCCCCCCCCCCAGCCGGGGCCACACTGTGCCCGAGAGCGCTTTCTCCAATGCAGATCATGCTGGGTCACCCCAGTGCTTAAAATCCTCCCATGGCTCCTTAGTCCCCCTCAGCAGAAGGTCCAAACGCCTCTGTCTGGAGCGGAGAGAAAGGAAATAGATTTACCCTTGACTTTTGATCAGCAGCAACGGAAGCCATCCAGAAGGCGCTGGAATGATTAATGTCCAGGAAGAAAATAACCATCATCTTAGAATTAAGTACCCAGTGCAAATTTCTTTCAAGAATTATGTGCCCGGTGAAAATATCTTTCCGGGAGGGGGAGAAAATAATAACATTTGCAAATACTAAGACTAAACCTTTGCCACTGGCAGACCCTCCCTCAAGGAAATTCCAGAGGAAGAACTTCAGACGGGAGGAAGATGACCACAGATAGGTCTGATGCAACGGGGAATAAAGAACAATGAACATTAACAATATAAAACAATAACAATGTGTTCTGGATAAAAATAGAATTAAAATGCACAAGAACAATAGCATGTAACTCGAATGAGTGGAGTAAAAGGGTTCTAAGATCCTTATATTCTAAAGGAGGCAAATGGAGATACCAAATACACTCAGAGGGACGGCTGGGTAGCTCAGCGTCTTCCTTCAGCTCAGGGTGTGATTCTGTGATTCAGAATCCAGTCCCCGCATGGGGGTCCCTGCAGGGAGCCTGCTTCGCCCTCTGACTACTTCTCTCTCCTCTCTCTCTCTCTCTCTCTCTCTCTCTCTCTCTCTCTCTGTACACAGAGAAATAATGAATAAATAAATAAATCTTAAAAAAAAAAAAAAACACCAAACAAATGCTCTTAGACTTGGGCGAGTTAAGAATGCAAGTTGTTGTTACCAGGGTAAACTAAAAGAATGGAAGTGCAGCATATAATATTTATCCGAAATATTAGAGGAGGAAGATAGAATGAGAAAAATCAACCCAATCAATCCTAAACCAAGCAAGAACAGAGAGAAAAATAAATACAAGAACGATGGGACAAAGATATGACAGATATAGATGAAAATGTGCTACAATTCAATAAACGCAAGTGGACTTCCATCAAACTGGATAAAAATCCAACTACATGAAATTTAGAAAGGACATCCACAAGAGACACTCCCAAAACGTAAGGCTACTGAAAGGATGGAAGTGAATGCACAGGGAACTACATCATGCCAAGGCTAACAAGAAAAAGGCTCATCTAGTTAGTTCTTTTAATACTAGGGAGAAAAAAAAAACAAAAACACTCCCTGGAGACAAAGAAAGTCACTTCATAATGAAAATGATCCAATTCACCAGAAAGATAGAACAATTTCAAATTTGTGTGCAAATTCTATAATTTTAAAATAGAAGAAACATGAAGAGAACTATACAGAAAAATAGACATCCAAAATTATGGTGAGAGACCTAAAAACACAATCTTCTGTAATTAGTAGAACAAATATATTCAATAAGGGTCTAAGAAATTTGACTACTGGACTTTCACAGAACATTGTGACAACAACTGCAGAATTATATATGGAATATTTACAAAACAGTAAATCTCAAGGAATTTCTGAAGTTTGAAATCATACAGAGTAGATCCTCTGACTAAAACACAAATAAGCCAGAAGTTGACAACAAAAAGATAACTTCAAAAGCCCCATGTGTTTGGAAATTAAGAAGTATATTTCTAAATAACTGATGGATCACAGAAGAAATCATAATGGAAATTACACTGAATGAGAATGGAAATATTGCATATTAAAAATGAAGGGGCACCTCGCCGACTGGGTCAGAAGAGTGTGCAACTCTTGATCGCCAAGTTTGAGCTCACACTGGGTATAGAGATTACTTAAAAATAAAATCCTAAAAAAAAAAAATTGTGAGATACAGCTAAAGCATGACTCAAAGGGAAGTCATGACTTTTAATGCTTCTATTAGAAAAGCGAAAAGGCGGTAAGTAGCAAGTACCCATCTCAAGAAGCTGGAAAAAGAACAGTAAAGTAGAATAAAACAGAAGGAAGGAGAGAGTGCAGTAAGAGCAGAAGGTAATGAAAGAGATTAGCAAAAACAAAAATTGCTTCTATGAAAATACTAATTATACTGACAAACTGGTGAAATTGATCAAGAGAAAAGAGAGAAGGCACAATTAACCAATATCGCAAACGAAAAGTCAGTGAGTCTGCCGATATTGAGAAAAAGAGATAAAAGATAATTATGAATAACTTCATGGCGATAGCTTAAAAATATTTTTTGGGGGATCCCTGGGTGAGCGGTTTGGCGCCTGCCTTCAGCTCAGGGCATGATCCTGGAGTCCCAGGATCGAGTCCCACATCAGGCTCCCTGCATGGAGCCTGCTTCTCCCTCTGCCTGTGTCTCTGCCTCTCTGTGTTTCTCATGAATATATAATAATAATGATAAATAAATAAAGGCACCCCAGGCGTCCCAGTAGCTTAAAAAACTTAATGAACTTGGAAAATTCCTAGAAAAAGCATAACTTACCAAAACTGACTCGAGAAAACCTGAATGAGCATCCCTGGTCATAGTACCAAAGTATCTTAGAATGGGACACTGGACATTCATAACAGGTGCCAGCCTTAGCATTGAGCAGAGTCCAAGAGACCTCTGGCTCCCCCCACCCCCACATTAACTCTTTGATCTATATGTCATCAAAATATCTGGGGAGGGGCAGCCCCGGTGGCACAGCGGTTTAGCGCCACCTGCAGCCCAGGGTGTGATCCTGGATCTTCGGGATCGAGTTCCGCATCGGGCTCTCTGCATGGAGCCTGCTTCTCTCTCTGACTGTCTCTCTCTGAATGAATGAATGAATAAATAGATAAATCTTTAAAAAAAGAAAAAAGAATATCTGGGGAATCTGGGGCAGCCATGGAGTGGTTGTGGCACTTGGGGTTGAGAGTGGTGGCTCTGTACCAACTGGTATGAAACATAATCGTTAAAAGAATCGAATCAATCATCACTAGCGTTCCCACAAAGAAAATTCAGGTCCAGAGAGCTTCACTTATGAGTTATTTAAAGAAGAAGTAATTCCAGTCTTACCCCTACTTTTCCACATACCAGAAAAAGAGGGACTACTTCCCGATTCTTTTTATGACAAGTACAGTGCAAAAAAAAAAAAAAAAAAATTATAGACCAATGTCTCTCATGAATATACATACAAAAATCTTAAACAAAACATTAGCAAACCAAATCTGGCAGTATGGCAAAATGATACTACTTCATGACAAAATTGGGTCTCATCCAGAAATGCAAGGTTGGCTTAACATTTGAAAATCAGTTGATGTAATTCACCACATTAAAAGTTAAAAGAGAAAGACATATGGGCATCTCCATAGATGCAGGAAAAGTTCAACATCTGTTTGCTTTAAAATGTGTAGCAAACTAGGAATTCAAGGGAATGTCTTTTTTTTGGGGGGGGAATGTCTTTATCTTGGTAAAGGTATCTACAAAAAACCTATGGCAGATATTCTAATTAATGGGGAAATATTGAAAGCATTACCCTTGAGATTGGTAACAAAGCAAGGATGGTCACAATCCTCATTTCCATTAAACACTGGATATCCTAAACCTGTGTTTCCCAACATGGTAGCCACTAGCCATCTGCGACTAATGAGAACTAGTCCCAACTGACATGTAAGAGTAAAATGCAATACATGTCGGATTTAAAGACTTAGTGTTAAAACAAAAACAAGCAAATCTCCACACTGCAAAATGTTTCATTAATAGTTGTATGCTGATTACATATTGAAACAATATTTTTATACATTGGGTTGTATGAAATTTATTATAAAAATTAAGTTTACCTACTTTTGATATTTTTTAATGTGGCTACTAGAAGATTTCACATTTTATGCATGTGGCCTGTATATATGAATCACATTAGCTTTCTTTCTTTCTTTTTTTTTTTTCACAATAGGTTTCTCTTGGACAGGGCTATCCTAGACAGCAAGACAACAAAATGAAAACAAAAATAACAGGACTACAGATAAATAAAACTGTCATTATTTTCGGGTTCTATATAGAAAATCCAAAAAAATAAAAATCTTCAGATTATTTTTCAAATTAATAAAATAATTTAGTAAAACTGTTGGATTGAAAAAAAAAAAAAAACAGCATACAGAGGCACCTGGGTGGCTCAGTTGTTCAAGTGTCCAACTCGAT